GATCTCATGAGGCGAATAAGCTGCAAGACATGTTGGATGGATTCATTAAAAAATTTGTTCTTTGTCCTGAGTGTGAGAATCCTGAAACAGATCTGGTGAGTGCCTTTAAGGTTTTTGTCATTAAATTCTGTATGCTTTTGTGGTGTTGCCTGATTATACTTTCATGTTCCTGAGAAGGTACCAGACTTGTTCAAGAATACCTTTTGTTAAAATTAGACTGCTATGAAGAGAATTTGTGTTAAACTAGTATTTCAGATGTTTTCTAATGTATAAACTCACATACAGATTTTGTCTTTCACTATACATGACACTTGTTTTTACTTTTCTTGACAGCATGTCAATCCAAAGAAGCAAACAATAGGTAATTCTTGTAAAGCCTGTGGGTACCGAGGCATGCTTGACACACATCATAAACTCTGTACATTCATTCTCAAAAACCCACCTGGTAAGTCTTAACAAAATGACTATTAAAATAAAAAATGGGATGTTTTATTACTGTATAAGTATATACAGCATAAGGAACTTTAGTCTTTGGACTTGTTTGTTTGTGTTTCGAGACAGGATTTCTCTGTGTAGTCCTGGCTGTCCTAGAACACACTTTGTAGACCAAGCAGGCCTCGAACTCAGAGGTCTGCCTGTCTTTGGCTCAGGACTTTGTGATTTTTAACTGATTATAAGATATTATTGAAAAATGTGTTTTATGTAACAGTAAAAGTGAAAAGGAGGCTGCCAAACTATATCATGCTGTTGATTTATAAAAGAGATTATGATGGAAACCCATCAAAAGATCTACTGTTCTGGAAACAAGGCTTGTCTGACTAAGCTACAGTGGCTTAGAAAATTGCAAGCAACACTCTGTGGCAGATGAACAAAACTATCTGACACAATTTGAGCTTGCTATAGCAAGATAGTCCAACCTATTCCGGTGGTCTCTTCCCCATGAGACAAGCCGTTATATAGACTCAAACAATTTAATTGTTGGATGGTCAGGTTTCAGATATGGTTTTGTTTAAATTCATGGGGATAAACTACTTGATTGAGGCATTATATAAACAGTTCTAACAGTTTAATATTCCCAATTGTATTACTTCATCTTATTTTATAACTTGTGAAATGTGGTTGGTAGCGTCTTATTCCAAAACGTGTGAAATGTGGTTTAGTAGTAGATTTGTCTGAATGCCTTGAGAATTTATATTATTTGGTGTGTTGGTGTTTTGTGTGCGTGTGTGGCTGTACACCACATGTGTACAGTGTCCTAGAGAACTGAAGAAGGCATTGAATCCCCTGGAACTGGAGTTATGGGTGGTTGTGAAACAACCATATGGGTGCTGGGAATCGAACTTAGGTCTTAACAAGTGGTCTGCACCACTGAGCCATTTATCTCTCCAGCCCTCCCTTCAGTTGTGTTTTGTTGTGTTGACTACTGAGGAGAGTTGGGATGGTGTGAGGGTAGGATTTAAATCTGATAGTCAGTGATACATAAACCATAGGACTAAGTTAACTTTTGTTTCCCTGTAGAGAATAGTGACAGTGGTACAGGAAAGAAAGAAAAGGAAAAGAAAAATAGAAAGGGCAAGGACAAGGAAAATGGCTCCGTATCCAGCAGTGAGACACCACCACCTCCACCACCAAATGAAATTAGTCCTCCTCCACATGCTGTGGTGAGTGTAGGGCGCTTTAAAATTGTGTCAAAAGACTGGTGTTTGGTTGAAATGAACGAAAATTTGAATTGATTAATGTAGTGCACTGTTAAAACTGTACTATTGGTTGCTTGAGTTGAGCTAAACTGAATATATTTTTGAGCCTGGGTTAGCATTTTGTTGTGAGCATGTGAAAAGATACATTCTCCGGGCTTATGATATGGTCTGTGTCAATGTGACTAATACCACTATTTGAAGATCTTTGCTTTTGTTTAAGCAGGAAGAAGAGGAGGATGATGATTGGGGGGAGGATACAACTGAGGAAGCTCAGAGGCGCAGAATGGATGAAATCAGTGACCATGCAAAAGTTCTGACACTCAGCGATGATTTGGAAAGAACTATAGAAGAGCGTGTTAACATCCTGTTTGATTTTGTTAAGGTAAATATGCTTGATCTACAAATAACACATCATAAACCTTTCTCTTTTGAAATGTTTGTTGTCTTTATAATTGGTTAACTTTTTCTCTGATATCTTTGAATTGTATTTATTCAGTGTTTGTTTTTGAGACAGGGTCTCTGTAGCCCTTGCTGTCCTGGCACTCATGTAGACCAGGATAGCCTGGAGCTCATAGAGATCTTCCACACTCTGCTGGGATTAAAGGCGTATGCCAACACCCTCCCTTTGTGGGTTTTTGTTTTTTGTATGTTTGTGTGTTTGTTTGGTTTGGGTTTTTTTTGTTTGTTTGGTTGTTGGTTTTTTTGAGACAGGGTTTCTCTGTGTAGCTTTGCCCCTTTACTGAATCTTGCTCTGTAAGACTAGGCTGGCCTTGAACTCAAAAAGATCCTCCCAAGTGCTGGGATTAAAGGCGTGCACCACCACCACCACCTGCCCGGCTCACACCCTCCCTTTGTATATTTTCAATTTGATGCTTGTATTTGCTTTTCTTTACTTATTCAAGAAATATTTTGGGCGTCTATAGTGGGCATACTTCCATAAATTGGGTAGAAATCCTGGAAAGGAGGACTACTCTCTAAAGCATAGCAATATATGCTTATACTTCATTGAATTTTTTATTTCCAGAAAAAGAAAGAAGAGGGCATTATTGATTCATCTGATAAAGAAATTGTTGCTGAGGCAGAAAGACTGGATGTAAAAGCTATGGGTCCTCTTGTTTTGACTGAAGTTCTCTTTAACGAGAAGATAAGAGAGCAGATCAAGAAATACAGG